TACTTCATAGATTCCACCCACAAAGTATCTGCCTGATATCATGACAGCAAAAGCATTTCTTGGGTAGGATTTTTGAGGGTGAAGAAAAGGGATCGTTGATAATGCTTGTCTTTTCTCAGGTGCAGTGATGGTGAAATTCCTCTGAGGAGGCTGTCCACCAGTAACTCAGAAAGCCTCCTTTGGTACAGTTTATTGTCTGTCCTCTATCAGAGCATTTAAGAAAGGTCTGGGTTCTATTTGGGTCAAATTACGGTCCTAATAATGCTTCCAGAATAATTCAATGAAACAGCTTTTCTTCTCCCCTCCACCCCCACAATTTTCCAATGAGGTGAGGTAAGATTGTTAAGGGAGGTGACACTGGCATCTTCATTAAAATAATTCATGCCAAATACCACAACAGGCAGAGCATGAAACTCCAGTAGCTTAACACAGTGAAGGTCTGTGAAGATATAATGGGGATAGGTTGGTTCTTCTGCAAGCATATTATTTGTCGGGAAGGTTCACATGCCCCACCCTTCAAGTCGGCTTGGGAAATAGTTGTGCCCATAGGTATTTAATTAGCATCAAGCTCTGCCACTAGAGGGCAGAGTTTCCCCATTTAATCAATTCGCGCTTGTCTATCGGTTTAACATACATGGGTTGCCCGTGTGACTCAGCCACTGTTTATTTTTAACATTGCACGGACATTATAAGTCCCACAAATATTTATGCTCACGGATTTTTGTACTTTTCTCATGATCGTGATCTTGATCATCATCGTCAGTTTATCACTAATAAACTAATAAACATCCGTGCCATCACAAAGAACATGTATTCCACTCTTACCATAGGCCAGGCTTGCTGCTAAGTACTTTCCTGTGTTAGTTCCAGTAGCTGCCAAGCGCTTCAGGTAGATATTACCGTCATGATTTTTGTTTCAAGTAGGTGAAAGCCACTTGTGTGTTGCTTCAGCGTTGGTATCTTTGACACTGTAATAAATGCCCCGAGTGTTAGTTTCTCTGGGAAGCTAACCACAGGTGGAGGGGATTCAAATAACGCAAGTTTGTCCTCGAATACATCAAGCGACCAGAAGTTCAAAATCAAGGCCTTGACAGTGTTAGTTCCTTCCTTTGCGGACGATCTGTGCAGGGCTGTTCTTGGCTGACAGTGGTGGCCGTCGATCCTTGGATTCCTCTCCTTGTGGACACACCAGTCCATACTGCCTTCATCCTCGCATCACACTTCTTCCTGGTCTTTGGACATCACTTTTTTGTCATTCGTTTGTTTTGTTTGATCTCCTCTTAATCATGTCAGGCATTAGATTGAGGGCTGTGCTGAGGAGGTGTGGTCTTACTCAAGCTTTTCTTTGAATATGAACCCATGATAGCCGTTTGTCTTCTTCACTTCAAAGTTCCCGTGTTCCCACGAAACTTCACGAACACAACCTTTGAATGTTCTTACAACACTCCCTTCCCTTGTCTGTGGACATTTACTCTGGGTGGGGCTACAGCTAGCACAGAGGCCCTTGCAAGTTGTCTCACCAAGTCTTACTTTTTTTTTTTTTTTTTTTTTCTTCTTGAACTGTGAGGTTCCTGGATCTGTTAGCTGAGCAGGAACTGGAGTTAAGTTCCCAGGGACTCCATTGTATACCTCCTACACAGGGTCCAGTTTATACAAAGTTTATTCACTGGGCCTGGAGCTGCGAATGGGACCGGGGAGAAGCTTGTCATTGTTTTAGAACTTGTAAGAACTTTTTTAAGTAAGAAACACTTGTATTCATTCAGTCCTTGGTTCCAAGGGTCTTCCCCCTCCATTGTCTTATTTATCCAAAAGAAAAAACTTAATTATCCAATTCTGTTTTAGTATGCTGCTTATTTATTTATAAATCCAGTTGAAACTGGTTGATTTTCAGTCTCTAGAATTTTTTTTTTTGTGTGTGTGTGAACTTTGTAGCCAAGTAGTTTATAGTGGAAGTGGTCTCTGGTTTTGCTCACTCTCTTGAGTATATGCACTGACTTGATTAGAGTTCTATGCCCTTTCTTTCAGCGAGGTGTGGCATCTCCCTTATTTTTAAAGTGTTTTTTCATCAGGAACACACTCATTCTTTTGTGTTGCATCTGAACTTCTGAGAAGCTAAGTCTTTCCTCTGTTCTTCAAAACTTTGCTTCAAAGAACATTACCTTGGGTGGATAATATAAATCGGAACCATGGCCTTTTAAAGTCAATGTGACCATGTCTTTGTATGTGTTTATCAACAGTTATCCCTACCATGATGCTTTAGATGTTGTGACATGCCAGACATTTTAATAGCATTCATTTCAAAGGGAAGAGAAGGAAATCTGTATCTTCTTATTCTACAATTCAAAGGACATTTTGAATACTTATTGTGAGTGAGCAATTTTTCTAAGCCCTAAAGTAGATGAAATAAATTTGTATTCTAACCAGAAGCAGTTCTTAGCATTTTATTTCTCCACAGACATTAGTGTGGGTAATTATGACTTCCTTCATGTGGAAAACATACCAACATGTGTGTTCCTTGGGAGTTAGCATGGTAACAGTTATGCTTCGGGCTTCCGATGACTTGGCATTGGTGGACTTTACTGTCAGGGGAAAATGCTCAGGCCCTTCTGCTCTGACCCCTGCAAGTTTCCTCATACTATATGAGCACATCTGTTCACATCTGTGGCCTTTGCAAGCATTGTTTCCTCTGCTTATTCTCTCATGAGTCCTTCACCACCCTTTCTGAAGCATTTCTCAAGGTGAGATGATGCCCTGTTTTGTACTGAATGAACAAAGTGAATGAATAGAGGGGTCAGAACCAGTGTCCCATAATGGATAACTCTTGTTCCTTGTCCAGAAAATCTGTATTCCTAGTCCTGCTTCTTGATGGGTGACTGTGAGCTTGGTCAGGCTGCCATGCCACTCAGAGACTTAGTTTACTTATTTTAAAACGAGGCTAATAATTGTTTCTCATTAAAAGCTATATTTGAGCTTGGGGGAGAATAGTCAGTGTTGAGATAACTGTTCCTTGTATTTCCTTCAATTGTAGTGTGGTTGAATCTGGCTCACTTTTTTGTAGCTAGGTCAAATGTTGGATGAGAAGCCATGCTCCTGCTATGACCACCACCATTTTTTTTTTCCAAATCCAATAAATAAAATGTTAAAACAGCAAAATTAAACCAATAGGGAAATGGTTGATTTGGATTTGTTCAGCAAAAGCATTCTTTTGAAGAAAAATCTGCAACTACAACTCACTGTGTCTAGGCTTTTGGATGTGGTGAATGCATGGAGCATTAGAGCACCGTCTCCAGCCTGCCTCTACGATCAGGCAATGAGAACAGGGGGCTTTACGTGGCTCTCAAAGTCCTAAAACACTCTGAATCTTCAAACAAATGTTCAGTTTTGTGTACTATTTTCACTTAGGTAATGATGTAAGCTAAATGTTTGATTTTTTTTTTTCAGCATAGGATTGAATCCATAAGGGTTTAAAAACTCCTAAGTTAACATGAGACTTGATGAATCAGCATTTCTCTTCACTTGAGCTTTTTGGTTCATTTCCTTCATTGCCTTGCATCCAGCAGATATCTGTAGTAGCTAGCTTTCCTCATCACTTTGACAAAATGCCCGAAGGAAAGAACTTTTTTTTCCCATGTTATTCTTTTTTTTTTAATTTTATTTTTCTCATTAGTTACATTTTGTTAATTCTGTATCCCAGCTGTATCCCTCATTCCCTCCCCAGTCCCACCCTCCCTCCCTCATCTCCTCCCTGCCCCTTTCCAAGTCCACTGATAGGGGAAGACCTCCTCCCCTTTCATATGACTCCGTTTTGTCAGATATTTCGAAGGAAAGAACTTAAGGAAGGATTTATTTTGCTCACGGTTTGACAGAGGACAATCGTGGCGGGACGTCACCACAGACTGGACAGCAGTGGACGGCTGTGGCCTCACGGCAGAGCAGGAATGAAGGGCTTCAAGCCAGGTGCCTATAGTGCTATGTCTGTGAGCCTGGTTCCCATATCCAATGAGTGCCATAGTCCCCTAAAACAGCGACACCAGCTAAAGACTAAGTTTTCAAACACACGACTCCGTGTGAAAAATTTCACATCGAAACCACAACAACAGCTTCCTTCACCTGTGTGAGGGCTGGATATGTACTTTATAAGGTCTCCGGGCAAGCTGTCATAGAGCACTAGTCTTCTGTGACAGACGGGCCATCATTTTGTTCCTTATCACCTATGTAGACGGAGGCACTGTGAAATAAACTAACAGATGTGTAATTACTTCGTAAATTGTATGGATCTATATTTAAACAGGGTATTGCTATGCATGAGGATGTGCTGAATTATGCATACATCCTCTCTTATGCCTGCATGTACTTGCTCTGCTGTTCCTATCTCTGTAATGCCCTTCAAATGCATTGCTAGTCACCTGTGGTCTGAAAGCTTTTATGTGCATTTTTAAAAACCTTTTGTCATACCATATTAAGGCCATTTTTTCCCCCACATCTCTGTCTTCTGTGAGACTCTGAGAGAAACCTCCACGTATTTCGTGCTTGGCATACAGCTAACCCTCAGTAAATTTCTACTGAATTGGATTGGGTTGATTTGAATAACATTATTGTTGTGCCTGTCTTGAAGGACAAAGTCTATCCAGTTCTATAGGACTATCATCTGGTAACTGACCACCCCTTGGAACTTGTTAAAAGCTTTCATGAAGATGATGGTGACACAATATTCATGAAGATGGAATTCTGTTTTGTTTTGTTTTGTTTTGTTTTTAAGCTAAATGATCAGAAATCTTGGGTATCTTACACTTTTATCTGATCAACAGTGAAAGAATCTGAATGCAGGATGCTTAGAATTTAAGACACTTTTGTGTGCCTCATTAATGCGGAATTAGTGCGTCAGCCTCACAAAATACTTCCATGTGCTGGAGAAGACATAAGCCTTGAAGAGACGGGCTTCACCCTTGGCCCCACTCCTCGGCTCTCTTGATTAATTTGGAGCTGTCTTTACTTTACAGCTGGTTTGCCATCCACCCCGTGAGCATGAACAACAGCAACCACCTTGTCAACAGTGATAATATGGGCTACGCAGCTTACCTTTTTGAGCAAGAGATGAACAAAGGATATCTACCTGGACAGGTGAGAATTAATGTCACTGAAATCTTCTTCTTGACTCACGGAGTGAACAGTCAATTCAGATTTCAGAAAGAAGGTGTTCTCATGGACCTCAGGAATATGCTTGCATGGAAAGGATTCACTGGTCTGGAGAAATGGCTCCAGGGGTTAAGTGGAATTGCTGCTCTTCTAGGAGATGGGGCAGGTTCCCAACACCCACATCAAATGCTTCACAACTACCCATGACTCCAGTTTCAGGGGATCTGACCCCCTCTTCTGGCCTCTTTGGGAAATACACATGAATACACACATGCACATACACACATTATCTATCTATCTATCTATCTATCTATCTATCTATCTATCTATCTAT